CCCCCCCCCCCCCCCCCCCCCCCCCCCCTCGCAGGTTACTGGAGCTGCAGGTTTTTCTGGAGATTACTTTCTCCAAATGGCCAGCGGGTGGCAGTCTTTAGAGGATTCAGACAGACTGTGTCTAGCTACTGCATACATGATACTAGTTTTTGATGCTTTCAAATCAATATTTGAATCCACTTGTCACTAACATGAATGACAAAGCAAATATTCATTTAAAGTAACAATATTGGTCCTCGGAAAAACAATCTCCCATCAAGCTATGAGTGAAGGCGTCCTTAACTCCACTCCTCACAGGGAAGGGGCTCCAGTGGGGCACAGTCACAGTGTACAGTGAATAGGCAGGATGATAAAAGCATCGGTGGGGGGGGGGCACGCAGAATGAAAAAGTCGAGGCTAGGCGCGAACAAAACACACATTCCAAGATTAGAATGAGCCCCAATCAAGAGCTTGCTCGAGTTTCGCCTCGTAGTGCGAGACTGAAAATTAAAAAGAAAGAAATCCTCTTTCAGGTAAAAAGCTGCTTCATTTTCCTCGTATCCTAAATCCTCCAGCTCTCCGGCACATGTTAAGAAAAAAGCAAATATCTACTGAAATACTTCTATGGGATCCTCGAAAGATAAAAGTGCAATTGTTAAGATAGATACATCTGCATTAATCAAAAAAAGTTTGACTTGAAGTCAGGAGGGAGCGGGGAGAAAGAGGAGGATGTTGGCGGAAGAGATGGGGCGGCTGTCATCCGCGCAGATTCCAGCCCTGGGAGTTTCTAACCTCAGGTCAGTTTCACAGAGCCGGTCCTAGTCCTCAATACAGATGACATCACTAGGTTTGCCTGACTTGAGGTCAGGCGTAGCCACGTCTCTCAAGGAGTCAAATGACTTCTTGTCCAGATGGCTGGTAGGGGGTGGAGGGCCGTTCGAGGACACTGAAGAGGAGAGAGGTTTTTATATCTGGGTGGTTCAGTTCAACTTCACAAACGGTTACTTTTTCTTAACATATTGCAGTGAGAATTATGACATACAGAATGTTTTGATTTCAGATGGATTTTTTCAAACAGAACAAGCACATCAACTTCAGAATCTTATTAGAAAACAAAACTGAAAGTGAGCATACCCAAAAACGTCTGCAAACCCTCATTGTGTATGCAACTAAGGTAAGTAAGATAGGTCAAA